CACACAAACACATGCATGCAGCCACGCACACACACCCACACAGCCAAAAGGGTTTTAAATAAAAAATTTAAAAATTTGGGTGGAGAGATGGCTCAGCGCTTAAAGGCATGTAGTGTTCTTACAAAGGATCCCAAGTCCAGTTCCTGGCATGCCCATTAGGTGGCTCGTAAGCACCTGTAACTCTAGCTCCAGGGGGTCTGACATCCTCTTCTGGACCCCACCGGCACCTGCAAATACATGGTCACACCCCCACATAGACAATGAACTGTAAAATAAAGTTAAGGAGGGCTGGAGCCATGGCTCAGCAGTTATGAGCACTAGCTGCTCTTCAAAGGACCTGGGTTCTAGCCTCAGCATTCACATGGAGGCTCACAGCCTCACTCCAGTTCTAGGGGATCCAGTGCCGCCTTCTGGCTTCCAGAGGCACCACATAAACGTGGTGCACAGATATATACATGGAGGCAAAATACCCATGCTCACGAAGTTTTAATAAAAAAAATATATAGAAAAGTCGTAAGAGATCACCGTTCTCCAGTAACAACCAACAAAAGCTGAATATGCCACATAATCATAGCTCCTAAAATTCACTGGCAATGACGTCACAATTATCCAAGCCTATTCCAATAAGTGACAAGCCCATTTTAAAAGAAAAGAGAACCTCAGCTGCTATTCCCTGACTCAAAGAAGGGGAGGTAAAGGAATCTGCCCCAGAGAAAAGCTACCAAAAAAAAAAAAAATCAGTCCAGACAGACAGACAGACACAGACATAGACAGACACAGACATAGACAGACAGACAGACACACACACACACACAGATACAATTTTCCCAAGATACTTGAAGCTTTCAGCTAGGGAAAACTGGGGTTGGAGACGATAAGAAAGCCAAGATAAATTTCTGTGAGGCAAAAAATCTTCAGAGTACAGAGAAGCCAACACAGGCCACGGTGGGGCAGCAGGAAGCACTCTCATGGGACAGGGAGAAGAGGCAGCATTAGTGATGGAAGAAATTTTCTCAGCAACTGAGAAAGCCAGTCACCAGCAGATAAAGCAGGAAGCTCTCTCCTGCAAATCAAAGGAGAGGTTCTTGTCATTCTCAGGCAAGAGGAAAATACAAACTAAATTCAAAATAAAACAACTATTTTTATAGCCAGTAGCACTGCTAAAAATAAGCAGGAGAAGCACACAGGCCCACACTAGGAGGCGGGGTCAGGAGCCTCCTGCACACTGCCCCAGGAGGAGAACTGAGATGGTCACTCTGAAGACTGCTGGGAAGTGTCCTATAAAGTTAAATGTACCTCTACCCTATGAAGCAACAACTTTTTCATTCTTGAAATATTTTACCTCAAAGAAATAAAAGTATGTCCACAAAAAGCCTTGTTCTGTTATGTTCTATTAGCTTTATTCATATAAACACCAACATTTGAAAAAAAAAACTATATGCTTATCAAGAGGAACTGAATACTTATGGAATACTACTTTGAAATAAAAAAGTACTGATGTATGCAAGGGCATAAACGCTACTCACAGCCGTCCTCAGCGAAAGAAAGCACACACAAGGCAGCATACACTTGAGGGCAAAAGAGGTAAAGAAATACATGATGAGACAGAAAGGACCCCATGCAGGGGAGGAAGGAGCTAAGCAGAGTGGGAGGGAGAGGGTAGGGGCAGTAAGAACATAATGATACATATGAATGAGGATGTCTCACAACTGGTGGCGGCGGAGGAGGAGGAGGAGGAGGAGGAGGAGGAGGAGGAGGAGGAGAAACAACAAAATCTATTATTCTGTATATCAGGGCCAGGGAGATAAATCAGCAGCTAAGAGTGGTTGCTGCAAAAGGAGTCTGATCCCTGGAACACACGTAAAGGTTTAGGGCACAACCAGCTCCACCAAGTCATCCCGACTACCACGAATGCGCCATGGCACACCCTAAATACCTACACATCATATTCTCTCACATAAGAATAACAAAATATCTAAATATATTTCATTCATAAAACATGCATATGTACAGTAATTTAATGTTAATTTCTTGAGATTTATGTATTTATTATTTATACAGTATTCTGCCTGCATGCCTGAAGAGGGCACCAGATCTCATTATAGATGGTGAGCCACGATATGGTTGCTGGGAATTGAACTCAGGATTTTGGAAGAACAGCCAGTGTTCTTAACCTCTGAGCCATCTCTCCAGCCTGGATGTTAATATTTTTAACTTATAAAAAAATACAAAGAACATGCGGCATGGCTTTCTTCACACATTCACGTGCAGTCAGATCAGTCCTCACAAGAGTTGTTGACAGTTCCCCCACATGCCTTCATTCTGTCTCTATCTATAGTTCTCTGCACCCTGTACAGTATTATTACATTCAAGTGGGGGCAAAGAAAAGAGCACCAGGTATATTACAAAAGGTTCAGAGGTGACCAACAATGACTCAAGTCATACAGAGACAGGCTAGCAATGATGCTATGACTAACTCTGGCTTCCTAACTCTGAACAGCAGAGTGTGACTGAGAACCTGATGCAGAGGTGAGTGAGAAGATCAGTGTGGTCCAGTTTCAACACCTCAGACAGGCGACTTGAGCCCTGGAGGCAATGCGTGTGCTGGGTGTGCAGTGGTTGGCTGCGGCTGCAGCTGCGGCTCATAGGCGCCAGCTAGAAACAGCTCAAGAAGAGAGCTTGTGACCCAAGAACAGAGCTAGGGGGTGGGATACTGAAGGAGAACAAGATGCCCAACCTAGTGGATGCTTTGCCTTCCCTTTTTAAAGTTCTAATATACATGTCTATGACCTAGCACCTGAGATACCATAATATGATGTAATAATCAAGAAAATAAGGCAAATCAATTTTTGACACCCCTTACACCTTCCCCATGCACTCTTTTTCCTCTTCTCTTCCTCCCCCCCCCCATTTCTTCCAGACTTCCCAGGAAACACTGCCCTGCTAATGTCAGACATCACAACTGTTGAGAAAAGGCAAAGGCACACAGCAGAGAACAGCAGCACTCTGCAATCCAATAGAAGACAGAGTGTTTAGAAAACCGGTTATTTATCAAGAACCACCCTCTAGTTATCATGAAAGCCATGGTTAAGTGTCAGAAACGGAAAGCACACTGGGCCTCATGGCAATCTGGATACACAAAGACCAGCCGTGTGCACTCTTAAAAGCAGTTCTTGAGAGCTCTCATTACCCTTACTGCCGGGCTTTTCTATGCGTCCTGTGTTAACTCTACACCCTGTACACTTTTCATATTTCAATCAGTGGCTATGAAATTATTTTCAAAGGTTTTTCAAGCACATGTACAAACACTCATGCATACACATACACCCATGCAAAGACACGCAGGCCCACGCGCACACACACCGAATAAACAAACCATCACAGTGAAATGAGAGGTCTCTTGAGTCTTTTGGAATACAGCAAGAAAAGCAGCTACATAACAGCATGGACTACGTATGAGGGACCACCATCACATATCAGCTGGTGTCTATGTCTCCCAAACATTGGGGAGATGTTTAGACTTGGCCCCAAATCAATCTAATATTTGAAATGACCGCACAGTGGGCTGTATAAGTGCAAGGCAAGGAAGTAGGAGGGCCTGTCCGGCACTACACAGGATGACTAGGGAGAAAGACAGTTACTCTTGGCTGGACGTGGTGACAAGTGCAGTGCCTGTCCTCTCAATACTCAGGTGGCAGACAGGCAGAGCAATGGAGTTCCAAGGTGTCCAGGGCTATAGAGTGAGACCCTGTCTCAAAACAAACAAAAGTCCCTATTCATGGTTCACTTAAAGGCTCCTATTCAAAACACACAGTTGTTATAGAATAAAATATCACTCAAAATAAGAAGTGCCAAGTACAGACAGCACAGACAAAGCTAGGAAACTGAAATTATATCTATCTATCTATCTATCTATAGATATATATGCCTGAATTCTTATGGAACAGAAGTGTAGATAAAACAAATTATAGGAAAGCAGTCAGGAAATACATACCTGCGGTGGTTATTAAGAGGCAGTGAAATGATGTTAGAAAAACACCATTAACTTCTAGGAATGCACTGGAAGGAAATGACCACATTCCACCGCAAAATGAGATACACAGGAAAGAACAAAGGACAGAATACCCGTATGTAACAGAAGTGCTCTGTGTCCTTGTATGTACAGAAGCATGGTTTGCAAACACTGCATTAGAGATATACATTTCATTCTTCTGTTTTGAATTTGGAAGCAGTGTCTCTTGTATCTCAGGCGGGTCTTGAACACACCAAATAGCTAAGGCCAACTTTGAAGTTCTGATCCTCCTGCATTACCATTCCTAGTTTGGACAGTGCTGTAGATCAAATCCAGGGTTTCATACATGTCAGGCAAGCACTCCACCAACCAAGCTACATTCCCAGCATCTATTATGCATGTGCTAGTGTCATGTACGAAAATTCTATCTCTGCTGCTACAATTTCTAGGCAGTCTTCAAAAGAGCATCTACTTTCTGGCTATCTCCAAAGAGAAACTTGAAAGCTGGAATGATCAAACACCATACAAGTAATCACACATGATAACCCTGAAAGCTGTGTTCTTTACTGACTTGAAGGCTTCTGCACTGGAAATACTTTGAAGCAGCAAGTGACTCATTATTTGAAGTTAAACATTACTTAACCTTTTAATATTATTTAAAAAAAAAAAAACACCTTAAACATCTGAATTCACTCACAGTCTTTGATATGAACCTCAGAACCAACATAGCTCTTTACACAAACACCTTGCCCCGCAGTGACCAGAGAGGACACTCATGTTGCACCCCACAGTGGCCCTAAAACAGAAATGCTAAATGCTGCCTTCTTGCAGTTACCCCAGAAGAATGTTTGGTCCTGTTTCACCTACATCCCTTTGTTTCATCTTCAAATAAGCGGATATTGCAAATACATTTACACACCCACTACTGGTGCACACAGTAATAAAAACAGATTCCCGACACAGAAGAAGCTATACAGACAGGGATTACCTGGAGGTAGGAATTGTAGCTGGTTATTAGCTAATCGAAGATGACGTAAAGCTCTCAGACGACCAATTTCTGGGCAAACAATCTCTAAGGCATTGTCACTGAGATCCAGACACTGGAGTTTCACAAGGGACCCGATGGCTTCCGAGAGAAAAGGAAGGGAGAGGCAGAATGAGTCTGACTCCAGTGTTCCTACATGAAACGCTTTAATCTTTACTCTCCTATCTTTGACTCACAAAACAGTGAAAACAGAGTTGTGAAAGTGATGAATATTTCTACCTTGAGATAAAATGTAACTTAATAAAAGAATAAGTAAGAAGGTTAAAACAATGGGAGAAATATGTGACTAAAAATATAACTCAAAGATTAACCCAGCGGGAGTGGCCAACACCAGTAACCTCTGACCCTCCGAGGGTGTGTGAGGCAGGAGGGTAGAGTCTGAGGCCAGGAGGGAAACACAGAATCTTGTCTCAGATGAAGTCAGTAAGAGAGCAGGCCAGGGAAGTGGCTCAGCTGGCCAGTGAGCTTTCTTGCCAGGAAGGCAACCTGAGCTCAGTTCTTAGAACCTCAGGTTTAAAAAGCTAGAGCTAGCAGCACATGCTCGTGGCCCAGAGCTAGGGACGCAGAGACAGGGTCTCGGGGTCCCTCACTGGCCAGCCAGCATCACCTATAGGATGAGTCCCAGACAAGAGAGATTTCCCTAAAACAAACAAACAAACAAAAAAAACAAAGGATGGCGTCTGGGGAACAAGTTACAAGGCTGTCCTCTGCTGTCCTCTGCTACCTGGGTCTTCCTCCACCACACAAAAATTTTAAAGAATATATTACTTTTCAAAAAAAGAATATATTAACTTATATGGAACTAAATTCTTAGTTTGCTGAATTTAATACTTACTTCACTGTCTTCTGGCAGCAGTAATTAGCTAGTAACTTACCTGCCCATTTATTGTCTTTTCAGATTTCTCTATTTAGTATGTAAATCTTAACTGGATTTACATTTTAAAGTAAATAAATTAAAAGTCCTTGGGATTAAAATGCCTTAACACACCAACCAAAATTAGGTTTGAAGAGATAACTTCATCTATTCATGAAGCAAAACATAAACTACACTAGAAATTATAAATGTGCTTACCTTCCGGAACCACAACTATGTTATTTGAGTGTAGGTACCTGTAACAAGAAGGGGGTGGGAGCGGGGATAGCTGTTACTATTCAGTATTCTGCTGATAACCAGCTAATACAAGCTCTGTTTGAAAACTTAGCAAATATAGGGTGCCACTTCCTTTTATACCCTAATGTTAACCCAAAGAGCAGCCAACTAATAATACTTGGAGAGTAATAGTTGTGCTAAATAACAAAAACTAAGCCACCTTCTGATTAAGTCATTTTAAAATAATAATATAAAAATCATAAGGTATTTTTAAACATAATTGAAAAATTACTAGCTCTGGGGGTTAGAGATGGTCCAGAGGTTAAGAGCACTGGATGCTCTTCCAGAGGTCCTGAGTTCAATTCCCAGCAACTAGCTGGTGGCTCACAACCATCTATAATGAGATCTGGTGCCCTCTTCTGGCATGCAGGCATACATGTAGGCAGAACATTATACACATAGTAAATAAATCTAAAACAAAAACAAACAAACAAAAAAAAAAACCTAGTTCCTCCAGTTCATTTAAATTATCTAGGGTTTCAGAAATACATCTACTGTATAAAGAAAAAGAAATATCTATTGTGTAAAAGAGGACATCATGTTAGTTTCTAAAGGGCAACAGTGCAATAAAGGTATTTCTAACTGGCTCAGGCAGCCATTATGAGCATTTGACTGGTTGTTATAGGAGAGCCAGGTTCAGTTCCTACACCCACTTGGTGGCTCGTCACTGCCCGTAATTCCAGTTACAGGGATCAAACACCCTCTTCTTAACACCGCAGTGCCAGCTGTGCACATGGTGCACATCAAACTCGCAGGGGACACACTCTTAGACAAAATAATCTAAAAACAAAAAACAAACAAACAAAAAGCACCCCTTAAAGAGATCTCTAGTTGGCATGCTTCCTGTAACCCAAGAATAGAGATTAAATGTTCATTAACATATCCATACAAATATTCAGATGCCAAGGGACAGAAATTTTACTTCTCAGCAATGGAAGTTCTTTAAAAAGACCTGCAAGTCTAAGCCATCAACACTTTCCCACTGAAGTACCTTTGGCACACTCTGGTGGAGACTCTAGGTACCATCTAAAGCCAGATACTCAGCCAAACCCAGTGACCACCAGAGATCATGCAGTAATAATACAAGAAAATAAGTTTTATTACTGATTTTGAGGTAAAACAAACAAAACTAGATTTTAGAATACTTGATTTCCAAACCAATCATTTTATTTATTGTAGGTTAAAAGTAAGTCCCCACAAGTATTTTAAAACATAACTTAGAAAATTTCTGTTGCATTTTGAAAATCTTTAGTGAATGCTAAAATGTCAATGAGCACAGAATAATAAAAACAAAAGTTAATTTTGTACAGCTTTTTCTATGCCCAATTAAACCTGTGGGTTTTGAATCAGCCCAGCCACACTCGGATGTGAGACTTTTCCCCCAGGAAATACCTAAAAGGCTTTTCACTAATGACTCTTAAGGTTTGAAACCAGTTTTTCAGAAGTAGCTATGAAGGGAAGCAACCGGGTTCTCTGATCAAGATCACATGCCAGAATTCCCAGCATAGCACAATAAACTCCACAACCAAGGAAGGAAAACAAGCGCACCTACCTCGCCACTGACCAAAAAGCATTTCCTCTCCTGCCTTCCATGTTCCCACATCGCCACCAACAGAAGAGGCCTGAGCCTAGAGCTCCTGGCGTTCTTGCTTTTTCTTTTAGCAGAAGACCAGGCCATAGTACCAGTTTCTATGTTTGCCAGGCAGCAAGCCCTTACCTGACAGCTATGTGACACAATTTAACCAAGCGCACACTCTAAAACAGACTCATTCTTCGCTTAGTGTATATGACTTGATTATACATTTTAAACTCAATGCTTTGGGAAGCACTCTTGATAAAGGTTATTTGTGCCAGAAAGACTGTAAATATGTGTGCAAGGCACACACACTAAATATGTGTTTGTTGTACAGAAAAACAAGACGCTATCACATAAAAATAGAGGCAGAACTGAGCTTTAAAAATTGCTTCGATAAAACACTTGCCTGGAGTCCTACCTATGAAAATGTCCAAATCAAAATATATACTGAAGTACCAACTATTATGACTGAAACTCAAAAACACATTTTAATACACTAAATATATCTATGTTATGATAAAGATGCTATAAAGCACCATAGTGTCCCTGACCCTAACTACACACTGGAACTATTAGGGTCTCCAAAAGGTCATCCCTCATGCACTAAGTACATCACAATCCCAATTCCACAAATAATTTTAGGGTACAACCAAAAAAGACTCCATCTGGTACAGGCAGTATGCCCCTCCTGGGTCACTGGGTGACAGGTGTATCAGAACACCCTATCTTTACTGCACCTTCACAGTCACATGACCATAGGGCATTACCAAGAGCCTCGGTCTCCTAATGCAGGTGGCATCTCTCTGGGGGATTAGAGGGCTGATAGTGTGGGGCTCTTACAGTGGCGCTCGTTGGGATGGAGTGAGAATCAGTGATGCCTGCTGCTGGGCAGCTGTGGGGCATTTATGATCACAGGTTCGGGACTTTCAATTTTACCAGGTTATTTGTTTTTGTTTTCATTTTAGAGTAACTGAAATCTTGATACTCCGAAATAACTAACTTTCATCGTGTTCTGCTGAAATACTGTAGACAATCAAGTTTGTGCTAGAAATACCACTTACCAGTATAGTTGTTTTGGAAAATGGCTAAGTCATTTTGCCTTATTTTTTTGTTTTTTGTTTTGTTTTTAATAAACTGAAACAAACTTTTACTCAGTATGTGAATGTCAATTTCCTAGTGTTGACAAATGTCCCATGGAATTCATGATGTTAACCAGAGAGAAAACTGGGTGAAGGGTATACCAGAACACTCTGTGCTCTCTTTACAACTTCCCTGTAACTATGAAGCATATTCTACAGTGAAATGCTATCTTCTTAATTGAAGGAACAGGACTTCCACTTCTAGACATAACGAGTAACAAGGACCAGACTGACCTGACTATATAAACAAGGAAAAAACAGATGGGATCTAGGAAACAACTATTTTCAGACAGTGACAACAGGTGACTAAGACTTTGTTTCCTAAAAGAATGGAACTAGCAAGGCAAGCCACACCATCCCCTAACTGTCAGTTTCTGGGGAAATTCTGAACTACGGCATAGGAAGAGAATCGGACTCAGGCAGCTAGCAGCCAAGGGGACCAGGCTCAGGAGGTGATGGCGCTACCTCACCCCCACTCTACCACCTCACTCCAAAAATGTAAAGGAGCTCTTGACTCTTTGCTAACTTCTGAAATGCACACGCATAAGAGAAACTCTGGGCAAACAAACAGGAGAGAAGCTGTCAGCTGAGCAGTGCACAAAGCTCCCTGGATTGCGAGATGGGAGTTCAAGCACACTGCCAAACCCTGATCTTACCCAGGCCATTCAGAAAAATGCAAGACAGCCCTGGCCTGTGCAAAGAGAGCTACCCTATCATTGGATCTGAGACTGCTCCAAGTCTAAGAAAGCCATACAAGAACCAAACACAAATGCCAACAAACAGTGAAACCAAAGGAAAATAAAATGTAGACACATGGTAATAGAAAATGTATAAAACCCATCATCCAATGAGGAAAATGACCCGCCCACCCCCAAAAAATAAAAAAAAAACAAATAAACCCACTAAACAAACGACTACTAAGAAAGGACATCTAAATAGCTATAATGATCATTTTCAGGTAGTTAGATGAAAATTATAAATATTGTAAGAACTATAAAATATAAAGAAAAATGAAATGTCTAGCGATCAAAGATATCTACACACAAAATGAAAATACATAATATAAAGTCTCTGGATGGAGTTAGTTATCAAAACTGAAGCACAATGGAGAAAGACACTGAAAAAGCACAGTCTTGACCACTGTGGGATGCATTTGACAGTCCAACGAGCATGCAAGAGCCTCACACGTAGAGGCCAAAGGCAGAGCAGAGGGATAAAAACAACTGATGCAACAATGTCAAGGATTATCCGAAGGTGAAGGAAATAAACCACGGAAGCTCAGAATGCTCAGAGATAAGGAACAAGAAAACCACAAGGGACTCACGATCAAATTCCTGCAAAAGAGAGTAAAAACCTGGAGCCTCCTGGGGCTGTGAAGGGCAGAGTGCTTACCCAGCACACAGAGTCCTGGGTACCACTCCAGTACCACCACCACAAAAAGGAATTAAAATTTAAAAGGAAACTCCTCAGCCTAAATCAAGAGGAAGGGAAAACAAACAACAAACAAACAAAACACCTTACACACAAACAGATAAATATTAAGAGCAACAGATGTGTCTTGATAAACTGCAGGCCAGAGGGAAATGCCAAATGCCAAAAGACAGACATACTAACAACAAGGAACCCTAATCCTAGAAAAACATCCCCAAAAGATGCAGTAGGGGACTAAGACAAAAAAAATATGACTTTTAGGGAAGGAAAAAGAAGAAAACCACCACAGGCTTCTTCATTTGAGATCAAAGCATGGCACATAAAAGCAAAAACTGTGCACTAGATTTCATCCAAGTGGACAACTTTCCCTCTGCAAAAGAACAGAAGAAAGATGAAGAGAAGATCTGTGCCCTAGAAGAAAGTCCTTGTAACACATCAGACAAGAAGACTGTTTATGGAATCCATCAGGAACCAGGAAAACCTAAGCATAAAGAAGCAGGCAGTGAAGACAGACGACAAGTAGGTGCATGAAAAGGTGTTCAACGTCACCAGAAACACAGATGACGCCACACTGTGACATAAACCATAGTCACATCAGAATGGCTGGAATAGGAAACAGTGATACCACGAAGGAGGAAGTATTGCTGGGTGTGATGGCTAACCTTCCTTGCCAATTTCAGCAGAGGAAGGATCACAGCGGAGACTGCAGCACAGCCTTAGGTGCGCCTGTGAGGGCCTTTCAAGTGAGAAGCAGCTGAGCAGAAGGATATGCTTTGAGTGAGTGGCACCATCTTACGGCTATGGCCTGATGGTCTGCATTCCCCTTTCTGTGCCTCCTGCCTACACCATGTGAGAGTTGCCTTGCCAGCTCTGGTGCTGCGCTATCCTGCCACACCTTCCCAGTCACTCAATGAAATCCCCTGAAACTGTGAACCAAAATAAGTCTGTCTGCCTCTAAGTCAGTGGTTCTCAACCTGTGGATCATGACCCCTTTGGCAAACCTCCAAAGTATTTACATTACAAATTAATATTTGGAAAGTCTCCAAAAATATTCACATTATGATTTTTTTAACAGAGGCAAAATTACAGTTATGAAGTAACAACAAAAAGAATCTTTTGGTTGGGGGTCACCACAACATGAGGAACTGTAAAGGGCCGCAGCATTAGGAGGGTTGAGAGCCGCTGCCCTAAGCTGTTCCTGTCAGGCACTTGGTCACAGCAACATGGACGGCAGCTAATAAGCTGGGCGTGGTGGTACAGGCCTGCCATCTCAGCACTTGGCAGGTAGAGCTCTGCAGGAGGGTCAGAAGTCACCCTTGTCTACACAGCAAGTCGAAGGCCGAGCTAGGCTTTGTGAGTTGCTGCTGTAAGGAGACAATTCTAATATACCAGGGAAGTGTAAAATGGCATAGCTAATCTAGAAAATTATTCAGCAGTTTCTTATAAAAACTAAAAATTCTGAGCAAAAGTGATAACATAAGAATCTCTTTCCATAAAATCAATGAAACTACTGTAAAAATTTCCAGAAGCAGCATACATAACACTATGGAAACTAGCCCAAGGCCTGCAGTGACAGGGAAAGATATATAAAGAAAAATGCTGTGGAGCTGTGAGCTCTGCGGGGTTTTCACATGTGCTTGTCCTGTACCCCACTGTCCAGGTCTGCAGAATTAAGAAAAGCCAAGAGTTCACAACCTAACTGAAAAGCAGTAGCCTGGGGGGAAATGAGTGAGAAGGCTTTCCAGGCCACATTCCGAAAGAATTACTATCTACTTAGTCTCAGAGTAGCCAGGAAGACTTGACTGGCAAAGAGTGCGCTCTCTCTCCTTCTCTCTCTCTCATATACACACACATTATATACATACATAACACAGTAATTAGAGACATAGATCTTACTAGCTAGGTTAAGAACACACACACAACCCTATCTGCCCCCAGTGCTAAACTGAATCAAATTACAGGAAACTGTTGAATGTCACAGCTTCCTGGGGCAGTAGAAAATAACTGTAACAAATAATACACAGACCAGAAAACTTGAAGGAGATGCTGGTTGGACGTGTCCATGAGGGCTTTGGCGCCCAGCAGCCCACCGGCACAGGTGGGATATACACAGGTCCAGAGCAGCTTACAATGGGAGAAGGCCTTGGCCTCTCACATCTGCTGAACTGAAGCCCTACATAGGCAAGAAGATGTTAAGGCTAGAGCGGAGTCACGTGGCTGATAATGACAATGCCAAGGTGTGTCTCAGCACTCACAGACTCACAGGCTAGGGGACTGGACAGAGTAAGCAATTACAGTAAGTCTGTCTAATCACGAGTTGACCACCAACAGCCTATGAGCAAGTCTGCACTCAGTAAGTCTAGAAAAGCTGATCGGTGGTCAGCTCACGATTAGCCAGGGAACACTACCAAACTTAGCAAAGAGTTTTTATGAAAAAAGGGGCAAGGTAAAGAAAACTGAAAGGCTGGAAAAACTCTTGCCAACTCATTCTGAAGCCAATAATACTAGGATACCAAATACAGATAAAAATTGCAAGACTCCAGAAAAATTCCCCTTTTAAAAACAGCTGCAAAATTCCAGTATCTAACCAAAACTAACAACATATATAAATAATTATATTCTATGACCAAACAGAAGTTATCCCAGCAATATTGGTTCAATGTACAAGTATTGATCAGTATAATGTACAATGCTGGAATAGGAAGAAAGAGTAATCCTTTGAAATAAAAAATAAATAAGTAACAACTCTGTAGATTAGAAGTGGAAAAGAATGTTCCCGGTCTTAGGAGAGGCCTACTGCTAGCATGCTTAATGAGAGAGACTGAACAAAAGAATACAGTGAATCCTGTGTGTTCTCATCACTTCTTTTCAACATTCTATGTTGAATAAGCTGGGGCACTTAAAAATGAATGAATGAATGAATGAAAGAATGAAAAAACAAACTTATGAACAAATGTATGGCATATAAAAAAGAAGATGTAAAAGCTATTTTTTATTGTGGATAACATCATCTTGTATATTAAAAAATGCAACCCTGGTGGTATTCAATAGTTTTCTAATTGAACTTAAGACCCACTCAGTAAGAGGGAAATAAGATAGATAGCACTGGATTGGCTGGGCTTCCTGGTGTGGAAGTGGCAGCTGCCTGGAAGGCCTTCACGCCACTCAGCACACACAGACAGGAGGAATAACAACAGTAGGAATCCCCCCAGTGAATGCAAACCTGCTGTACTCAGAGCATCTTCACTGCCTGAGATGAGCTATTGCAACACACTAAAAGGCCTTACCACAGCCCAGCAGTTAACAGAGCGTCCAGTCTACCCACAGCAGCAACATGACAACCACACCCAAAAGTAACAAAAGACTGTATTAAAATTATATACGCTGCTACTTCAAATAACTTAGTCTCCATTCTTATTTTAAAATAATGAATAGACAGACTCACAGTTCCACAAGGTTTGGAAGCTTCTGAGCAAGGTTTTCTGGCTGAAAATTAAAAACTCAGAATTAATTTTACCTTTGAAAAAAAAGTATTAACATTTTTAGTTACCTTAAACACAACAAACTATCTTTGTGGGATATAAATTTTGAGAATGGAAAGATAGTAATTCAGCATGTTTGGGATTTATACTTACAATGACCACAAGACATTTGGTATATTCAAACAGTTAAACTCAGCATCTCTTATTGCTGCAACCCTTTAATACAGTTCCTCATGCTGAGGTGACCCTTAACCAAAAATTTATTTTTGTTACTACTTCATAACTATAATTTTGCTGTTATGAATCAAAACGTAAATATCTGTGTTTTCCAATAGTCTTAGGTGACCCCTGTCCTATGAAAGCGATATTCAACCCCCAAAGAGGTCACAACCCACATTTTGAGAACCCCTTAGAGAAACCAGAACCGTCCTTGGGCTCCACGGTCATGAAAGAAAGACACCTCTTAGGAGACAGACAGTAGGAAGAGGGTCAGGAAGCAGAGAGGCAGCTGTGGACAAGGAATGCTAAGACTGCCAAAAGCCTGCACGGGGAGAAGGCATGGAGAGAGGGCACCCCACCCTGACGACCACACCCTCATTCTGGACGCTTGCCTCCAAGGTGTGAGCAAATGCACTGTTGGTGCTTAGTTACAGTGGCCTCGTAGTGGCAGATCACTCCCACCTGGCGTGCCCCAGGCTGTGAAGATCTCCAGGGTTTCCACGCACTGAGACCTAAAAAGGTTGGGAATGGTTGGAGGAGGGCTGTGGTCCAATTATTTTAGGCCTGAGGGTGGTGTCTAAGGGAATGGCAGACAGATGAAGTGTGTCACAAGTGGGTGGGGGCTGCTTTCCCAAGGGAAAATTTCTACAGTTCTACTCATAGGTTGAAAGGAGCAGGGGTAGGGTGGGGGGGGTCTCCGGGGAAACAATCACAAACATCGTTCTGATTTACAAGTAGATGAAGACATACACCATGAAAACTGAAGGAGTGCACAGGATGTTTTTTCATTCTAAACACCAACACGTAAACTAGGTTTCAAACGAATGAACCAGGAATGGCTTTTTGAAAACAAAAATAAAAACATGTCTGACGTGGATTCTGAAAGACAAACATAAGAGACTGGCACGAGGTGGACAGGAGGGTAGTCCGAGTTCATCCCCTGGGCACAGGAAGTAGTACCTACCACATGCAAAGGGGAGAGGGGAGGGGGTGTTTAGGAAATTATCTATTGTCCTGTAATACCTTACCAGTGGTCCTAAAGACATGGTTCTGTAAACCCTGTTATAAAAACAACTGTGCCTGGGGACTGGGGGGCTGGGCAGCTCTAAGGATGTGTGATGGTTTGAATGAGATGTCCCACCAGTTGGGGCCACTGTTCAGGTAGGTTTAGGAGGTGTGGCCTTCCTGGAGGAAGTATGTCGCAGGGGCAAAGCTCTGAGCTTTCTTTTTCTTATTTTTATACCTTTAAATGCTTTTATTAATTTGTGAGCTTTAATGAGAAAGTATATTATTTTAATATGAATAATTATATTCTTATTACTTTGTTTTTTAATTTTTTTAATTTATTACAGTTTATTCACTTTGTATCCCAGCTGTAGCCCCGTCCTTCCCTCTTCTCCTTCCGTGCCCCTCCACAAGCTCACTGATAGGGGAGGTCTTCCTTCCCTTCCATCTGATCCTAGTCTATCAGGTCTCATCAAGACTGGCTGCATTGTCTTCCTCTGTGGTCTGGTAAGGCTGCACCCCCCAGTGGGAGGTGATCAAAGAGCCAGCCACTGAGTTCATGTCAGACAGTCTCTGTTCCCCTTACTAGGGTACCCACTTGGAGCCGGAGCTGCCATGGGCTACACCTGTGCAGGGGTTCTAGGTTATCTCCATGAATTTTCCTTGGTTGGAATATCAGTCTCAGAAAAGGTCCCTGGGCCCAGATTTTTTGGTTCTTTTGCTCTCCTTGTGGAGCTCTGGTCCTGCCCCACCCCCAGTCTTTCTATCTCCCCCTTCTTTTACGAGATCCCCTGCACTCTGCCCAAAGTTTGGCTGAGTCTCAGCATCTGCTTCAATACCCTACTGGGTAGAGTCTTTCAGAGGCCCTCTGTGGTATCCTCCTGTCCTATTCCCTGTTTTTCCCTCTTCATCTATCCTGTTTGTTTTTCTGATTTAGAATTAAGCATCTTACCCAGGGTCCTCCTTCTTATTTAGCTTCTTTAGGTATACAGATTTTAGTATGTTTATCCTATATTATATGTCTAATATCCACTTATAAATGAGTATATACCATGTGTGTCTTTCTGCTCCTGGGCTACCTCACTCAGGATGATCTTTTCTAGCTCCCACTATTTGCCTGCAAATGTCATGATTTCCTTGTTTTTCATTGGTGAGTAGTTTTCCATTGTGTGAATGTACCACAACTTCTGTATCCATTCCTCAGTTGAGGGACAAGTAAGCTGTTTCCAGATTAAATAAATAAAGCTGCTATGAACATGGTTGAGCAAATGTTCTTGTTGTATATTTGAGCATCTTTTGGATATATGCCTAGGAGTGGCATAGCAGGATCTTGAGGTAGCACTATTCCTAATTGTCTGAGAAAGCACCAGATTGATTTCCAAAGTGGTTGTACAAGTTTACATTCCGACCAGAATATATTGTCACTTGAGTTGTTGATCTTAGCCATTCTGATGGGTGTAAGGTGAAATATCAGGGTTGTTTTGATTTGTATTTCTCTGATGACTAAGGATGTTGAGCATTTCTTTAAGTGTTTCTCTGCCATTTGATATTCCTCTCAACTTCATATGAAATAACAAGAAACCCAGAATAGCTAAAACAATCCTCTACAATAAAAGATCTTCTCGAGGTATCTCCATGCCTGATGTCAAGATGTACTATAGAGCAACAGTAATGAAAACAGCATGGTGCGGGCATAGAAACAGACTAGTGGATCAATGGAATCGAATTGAAGACCTAGAGATAAACCCACACACTTATGGGCACCTGATTTTTGACAAAGATGCCAAAATCGTACAATGGAAAAAAGATAGCATCTTCAACAAATGTTGCTGGTCTAACTGGATGTCTACACGTAGAAAAAATGCAAATAGATCCATACTTATCACCCCACACAAAACTATAGTCCAAGTGAATTAAAGACCTCAATATAAAACCAGACACACTAAACCTGTTAGAAGAAAAAGTGGGGAAGAACCTAGAACTCATTGGCACAGGAGACAACTTCCTGAACAGAACACCAACAGCACTGGCTCTAAAATCAACAATCAATAAATGGGACCTCATGAAACTGAAAAGCTTCTGTAAAGCAAAGGACACTGTCATCAGAACAAAACGACAGCCTCAAGATTGGGAAAGGATCCTTACCAACCCTATATCTGACATAGGCCCAATATCCAGAATATATAAAGAACTAAAGAAGTTAAAAAGCAACAGATCAAGTAATCCAATTAAAAAATAGGGTACAGAGCTCTGAGGTTTCAATACCACATCCCACTCCTAGCTGGCTCTTTGATTCCTTCTTGCAGTTCAAGATGTGCGGCTTCAGCAGCTGTTCTATCACAGCAACAGAAAGTAGCTCATACAAACATTCTGCTCTTGTACCTGTGTCTGGCAGCTCACAGCCACGTGTATCCGGCTCCAAGAGATCTTACACCCTCTTCTAGACTTCTTGGACACATGTACTCACACATGCACATATGCAACCATATTTAAATTTAAAACTTAGGTAAGAATCAAATGTAAAGACAGTGGTTTTGCACAAAGTGGCAAGGACTGTTAAGGTTTGAATGTAAAAAATTAACACAGACTCATGTCTAAACATTTGGTCCCTGGGTGGTGGGGCTGTCTGGGGAAAACTGAAGAGCCTTAGGAAGTAAGGCTTAGCTTGGCAGGTGATAAGAGATGATAAGAGAAGTAACTAATATATGAGCTTATATTTCATTCTACAAAATAGCTTTATTTTTAAAACCCTAAACATAATGGAAATCCACTGGTTTCTTTTTTTTTTCTTCTCGTTTATTATCACTGGTTTCTTTTATATGAGAAAGTAACATTATAATTTCACACAGGCATACAGATACATTCCAACTGTGTACAGACCTATAGCTGTGCTCTTTCCTCTGAGCTACATCCACAAACGTGGATATTGTGAAATGATTGAAATTTTGAGTTCTCACTGTTGACAGAACCACTTACATTTAAGTGGTAAAAGCTGTGAGTCTTCACACATTCAAAACTTACTTTCTCAGATGTCACCAGTGGATCTAGCCAAATCCCCGGAATGGACTTTTAGTATTGGTATCTTTCCTAGTAACAACACACACTTCCATTTATGGGCATACCTAGCAAAACCAGAGAGCTGCAGGACAGAGGGCTTTATCGGCAATGTTCCCATTAAAGCGAATTCCGGGGCAGGGAAGGTGTCAGGCCTCACCTAGTTTCATCTGCTGGAGTGCCAGTGCTGTTACTGACTAGCCGGCATGACCCTCTGCCTCCTTGGCTCTGTCAGAGAATTCCCTGATAAGCTGGTTTGCTTTTTGAGTAAGAACTATATACAAAACACTGAAACCATACTTCTGCTGCTGACAGGCTTCAGTATGAGTTTATTAACAAGTTAAGCACACTGTGTTTATATTTAACCTTGAGAAGACTGTAGTTTGTGAGAATCCTGCCTTTTGAAAATACAAAATAAGTAAATACAGATCTCCTGCAAAATGCCCAGCCTAGGAAACAGCATCTGCTGAGCAGGCCATGACTGACCCCTGCTGATGCTCCGGAGTATCACTCCCTTCTTTTTAATCCCACATTTCAGTATGAGGAAAATAGAAATTCCATTAACATTTACATCAACAAATTTTCTTCATCACCAGTGCAAAAATGAGCTTTAACATGTACTGCTGTCATAAAATGTTGATTTCAAACTCCCCTTAAATATGAAGGTTTTGTAACTTGGCACGAGACTTTTCATGCTTTTTATAAACCACTGCAGCTCTGTGATGT